GCAATCTCTGTTACTTACATCTCCTTCTTGTTGTTGATGTTTAAACTCACAGGAGTGTAATTGATTTGCTCTTTGTAGCTCCCAAATAACTATTTGGGGATGAATTAGCCATGCTCTGTAGATAGAACCAGGGATCAGGCTACATTCGGCCATCCATCCCTTTCTGCCAGCATGTCCGGCACCAAAAGCCAGCCATGTCTAAGGAGGCAGAAGTGAGGGAGGGACTCTCCTAGGTTCAAGGCAAGGACACAGCAAGTTAAGGATATCTCATTCCCTTAGGGGAAGAGCCACAAGCTGCAAGGTGCCAAAGACCAGTCAGGTGTTGCTGCAGTTCTCAGACTGAGTAACACACTCTGTATCCTGCTGCTGTTGCCAGCACCTCTCTCAAGGACCACACCCTGCCCTCCGAGCTGGGGATCCTGGCTCCCCTTTTCTGATTCTTCTGCATTTTCTTCAAACCTCAGAACTCTTGGGAGCTTGTAAGAAACATCCAACACCCCTGTTCTGTCATTATTTACAGCAGTCCTGCCTTTCAGGACAGGTAGGACTATTTCCTTTCCTCAGTGAAAGCAAAGAGAGAAAAAAAATTCTCAGGTTTGGGGAAAAGACACTCAAACAAATCATTCTGGAAAATACCATTTAACAAGTAGAGGTAATTTTCAGGCTAGCCTGATTAATAACTATTATAATTTTCAAGCACTAGGTAAGAGTTAATACAGGCAATAAAATGAGTTTTGCCAGGTCATGATGAATTCTAGCCACAAGGTAATAAATATTAGTCAGTAGTGGAAAACTAGCCTGAAAATGTGCCATAATCTTTAAGTCTGCTTTTAAGCACAGAGGGTTTTTTGTTATTTTTGTGATTTTTTGAGCATACGATTGTGCTATTCCCATAGAAAAATCTTTTCTTTCCCCCCTTTCTCATCTCGATTCCCACTTCTGCTCTTTAGAATCTTTAGCAAATGGAGCAAATGGGTTTTTTGTTTGTTTTCTGAATAATCTGATTTGCCTCTTTATATGTCAAAAAAATTTTAAGTTTAACAAAAAACACTGGATTTGCAGTTATAAGGCTGGAGTTCAAATCCCAAGTTATCGAGCTATGATAAAATTACTTAACTTTTTTGAACCCTGTTTTCTCGGTTATAAAATGAAAGTAGTAATGTTTATCCAAGGCAGACACCACTAGTTACCTGCCAATATTCACATTAGCTTTTTTCTTAACAGAATCCTGATTTTGGCAATAGTCCTGGCCAAAACAAAATGAAAACTTAAGTTCCTTAGTTCCCCAGCAGAGAGAGGTTGCTATGTGACACTGTTTTGGCCAATGAGATGTGTACAAAAGACACAAGGTAGTAAACACCACCTATAAAGGGGGCAGACCCAGCCCCACAGCTGCCTTCTGCCTTTGTTCTTTCCCTTCTTCCATCCTGGGAGTTGATAATGTCTGGAAGTAGAACAGCTATCTTATGTCTGTGAGGATAGGGGCTACAAGTTTAGAGGAAAGACCAGAAAGGCAAGTGTCTTGGTCCCTGCACTGGCCCTGGATTGCCCACCTCCAGACTACATATAATGAGCACTATGCTTGATCAAGCCACTGAAGGTGGGTGTCTGTGACATGCAGCTGATTGCGATCCTTAACCGACACACCACCTCACAGAATTGGTGTGAAATTGAAGGTGACAAACTATGGGAATGCACATGTGCCTGAAGCATAGTGCTTAATGTATTTTGTTTGAAGAAAGTATTTTATATTTCTCCATGAATTATAAAAGAGAGCACAGGAAATTTTTAACTTTTCCTGAATCCCCAGGAACTTGATTAAGAATATTTAGTGTAAGCCTCTTAAAATTAAAATAGGCAGAGATAAAAAAATTATATATAAGTTTTATGGTTGCTGTAGAATGTGCTGCCCTATATTTGGCTTACTACCTCATGGTGAAACATTGGGTAAAAGTGTTGCCTGCAGTACATTGGAAGGTAAAAGACATACCTAACTTTAGGGAAGAGATTGAAAACAAATTATTATTATGGTATAATTGGTTTCTATTAGCTGCATTTGACAAGATATTACAAGAAAGATATATGTTTGGAGAAGAATCTGTCAGTTTGTAGGGATAAATAAAAGATGAGTGTCTACAAATTCAGGGACCTATCAGGCTGGGAAAGACAACTGCTTCTCAACACAAACAGTAAAAGATAAAATTGATACTTTGAACAACAAAGGCCTATTAAAAGTCAGCTCTGCAGCAAGGATCAGATCACTAAACATGGATTAGGGTGTTGTGACCTGAAATTCCTTTCAATTGGACCAAATGGCTCAAAATTACTTAAAATGGTTCAGGGTTTGAAAAGGTGTTGCTCTCATCGCTGTGCTCAAGAAACCTATAATTAGGGATGGAGGGTAGGAGGGAGAGAGAGAGGGAAGAGGGAGAAGGGGGGGAGGTCATTGGGACAAAAGAGCATAGGAGTACAGCAAAGAAATAGGCCTAGAAAGGAAATGTGGGAATAGGTAAGAAGTCAACCAAGTTTAACTTTTGAAGACAGTTTTACTGCTAAAAGAGTCACCAACCTGGATTAAATGCAGTTGTGGCTATTTGAGACTTAAAATGACCCTTGGATTTCGTACCATTGATGGGCAAGAAGTACACTGAGAAAACTGCTCAACCTGTAAGGCGGAGATATTCTTCAATGCTTACTTCAGACAAGGCCCAGAAAGATAATGGAAAGAAGAAGCATCCCAAGGTGAAAATCCAAGGACCATGAGATCAACAGACAGGGGAGCCCCTCGTAAGAAACCCCCATGGATCCTGTTCAGGGAACATTCCTCACCTTTAGGCTAAGGGACCTAAAACTTCTGCCCAGTCTAAGATCAGAATTGCGAGAGGCCATGCATTTCCCATTCTTCCTGTTTTTAATGTATTTATTAAAGGTATCCTGCCCCTGCCCCATCACTGGATTGTGTGTGTGTGTGTCTGTGTTTGGGGAGGTGAGGGAAGGGTCTGTGGATCAAGAGGAGTTGCACATGGGCCGTTGTAGAGGCTATTGCACCTTATTTCCTGATGTAAAGACTACTGTGCGTCCACCCCAAAGATGTCCACATCCTAATTCCTGGGATATTCCTGTGAATATGTTACTTTTAATGGAAAAAGCCTTAAGAAAAAAACCTTGGGCCCACAGTCTTATTCTCGCTATGACTGTTCATTCAGAGCATACCACCTTTCTCAGCCCTGCACACCTCACATTGTCAGAGTCCTTGTTGAGTTAGTTTGCAAGCTGCAGGCAAATATCCCTCTCTTAGCTCAGCTGTATTTCTGTCTTTTTCTGCTTTTGTACCATTCAGTTCTA